TCAGATAAAACTTTATAATAGATGATCTACAAGTTAATCATTTGTTTTTTCCAGGTGAGTTGTTCAATGTACTTTGGTTGTGAATGGAGAGAAAGAATGCCTTCCTTGTTCCCTAGCTTAAACCCCCACTACCACAACTATAGCTACTTATGAGTATATTAAACATATTTTTGTGTCTGCAGGTTTTGCTGGTACTCCAGGATATCTTTCACCAGAAGTTCTAAGGAAAGATCCATATGGCAAACCTGTGGATATCTGGGCATGTGGTATGTGATTAATCTTGTGAAGTTCTTTATTCTATAGTTCTGGGGACTTCATTTTCTATTTTGTTTTTCTTTGAATTATTTTGTAAAAGACATTATCGACTGGATATCTTTCTTTGAATAGATGTAGAATGATGTAAATGAAGTCAAAATGAGCTTTGTGAAAAGAATGACAATCAGAAATCAAGATCTGTGATCAGTGTTAGCAGAGTTTGTTAAAAAAAAGCTAGAGCTAGTCAGAATATATAAAGTTTAGCCAAAAGTTTCAGGTGTCTTTTGCAAAATAAGATTACTAGCTTGTGAGCTTTGAGTGGACTGTGAAATTTGCTGTTAAGAAGAGATTCATTGCAACAACTTGATTGAGATATACTAGAAGTATACTGATTGCCAAATGAATCTTGAGTTTAAATTGTCTAAGTATTGTTTTAGTCACCTCCAGTTACTGTATAGTATGAGAAATAATACACCAGTGTGCATTTTAAAATAACTTCAATCATTTCACATACTTCTTATAATTTAGTAGTTTTATTTCATGGGTTGAAAAGTGATATTTTTATATATCGAAATTACACTGTATTTTTAGGGCACATTAATTAATCAATCACCCGCGGTGGCACATGTACTCAGACACACAACATTCATAAAAAGAAAAATAAGGTTAAATGATGACTTTTAGTGGCTTACATATCTTTACAACTTCAAATGTCTATAGCAAACTTTGAAATCTCTACACGTGGGAATGCCAGAGTTCTCATTTGTTTGTGTTTGTCCTGTCTGTGCAGGGGTTGTGCTGTACATTCTGCTTGTGGGTTACCCTCCTTTCTGGGATGAAGACCAACACCGCTTGTATGCTCAAATCAAAGCCGGAGCTTATGATGTAAGTATCGTTGATTTTGAATTGCTCTGACTAGGATTTAGGATTTAGCACTTTTTCAAGCCTTTTCCCCTGTTTGGGGCTCTGTTGACATATTAAGCTGTACGTCCTAAATATGGGCTTCTGTGTACTCACTGTTTTGGAACCACCAGGACATGAGTAGTATTCATGTTTTGAGACATAATTCCCGCTCTCTGTAATGACTTCTGCATGTAAAGCCATATTCTTCTTCTGGGAAAAAAAAATGTGCATTTTCTTGAGATATATTTGGGAAGTATGCCAACTTAGGGCAGTTGCAGGGTGAAGATGGTATTGAGTAACAGTTCTGCCATCTTTGGCATAAGATTTCTTCTCTGTCAGATACCAATAGTGAATTTGTGCTTGGAAGAGATTTGTTGCTCCTAAGGGGGGGTGCAGATTTGTTTTTAGAATTTAAAAGAAGACATGTTTTGACAAAAGCTGATCTGTTGCACATATTGTTTCCCCAGTACCCATCCCCAGAGTGGGATACGGTGACCCCAGAAGCCAAGAACCTCATCAACAGTATGCTCACAGTGAACCCCGCCAAGAGGATCAATGCGTCAGAGGCGCTGAAGCACCCCTGGATTTGCGTAAGACTTTTTTCATTCTATACGATCAAGGACATTGAAGGACATCGTCGTGAAGGAAGGAACACCTAGGTGTTATTGTATGAGGATTGCAAACTCTTTGCATATCCAGAGTTGGTTTTAACTTTTTGTTTAGGGCTTCCAAGCTCTCTTTGTCAGTTTATATATGCTGAATTTAGTATAATTAAAACGTGAGGAGTAGAAATGAGGAAGTTGAGTATACTTTCTGCTCATTGTTAACATGTTTAACACAAAGACAAGATAAGATTTACTCTAAAAGTCTTTGTGGATTGAAGGCTTATTTCTAGCTTCATTAAGACCTTGTACAATTTTTGTAGGAGGCAAAGAGTAACCAGTACTTAATGAATTTTGTTTTCAGAATAGCTATTTGATTTTTAAAAGAGCTTTGTTGAAGAAAAATAAAATGTTCTTTATGTTTAAGATTGAAAATATGCTTTACTTAGAGATGTGAAAATGTATGATGCAGCCACATCCTTGAGATGTGAACTAACAGTTTTGTTTCAGGAAGAAGATTGATGAACGCCTAGCTCCTGCTCCTCATCTTCCACTCCTGTCTGCTATGGTATGGTTCATTGTGAAAGTAAAGATTTTTACTTTCTATGCATGTTGAACACCTTTTTTTCATAACTGTTGAATATTACTTTTTACAGCAGAGGGAACGTGTGGCTTCAGTGGTGCATAGACAAGAGACTGTTGATTGCCTCAAGAAGTTCAACGCCAGACGGAAACTCAAGGTAAGTCACCTGAAAATCTTACTTTTGACTTCTATTGTGGCCTAGTTTCTGAGTTCTTTTAGTATGTCAAGTAGCTGGTTAGATGGTCCCACTGCTGTGTCTTATTTCTTTACTCTTGCCTTTCTTTCTTTTCCTCTGCCTTTATTGATAGTGTCCTAGTCAATGCGCTTATCTCTGAAACTTGGTAAGACAGTGAGTGGTTGAGGCTGAAATTTCCAAAAGTGCTGACGGAAAGCGAGAACACTTTGGAACTTGAACCATCCCGCGTTGAAGTCCTTTACTCCAAGGCCTGTTTTGAACAGAAGGAGCACTGTATTTTTTGATGTCACCAACTCTGTTTCCCCTTCACTAATTTAATTGACTGTTTGCTTCCTCATATTTATTTTCCATTATTTGTTAAATACTCCCTCAGTTTATGTGTAGGTGTAATTCTTGTACCTGTGAGCTTCATGATCCCTATGTGGGAGAAGGGAGAATCCAATCCGTGCAGAAATAAACCTGTTGTGCTATGAAGATGTAAGTCAACAGGCAAAAGGGAAGAATACATAAAGGTCAAATTGCTGTCAGAAAGATGATACTCTCCACTTACGTGCTTCTTCGCTGTTTTGGATGCTTCTACCTATATTTGAAGCATCTGTCTGTAATACTGGGTTTATCCTAGATCCTCTTTTGTCTGGACAGTGGACAGACACTCTCCTTGTTAGAGCCAGCAGTTTATCCCTTTGGTAGGACCAGGGATTATTTTAAAAAGAAAATTACTTTGTAAGATAAAGTCATGAATGATGAATATGTCTATCAATTTAAATTAAGAATTTCATGTTGTAGTTATTGCTTTGTCATTAGAAAGTGCACTTTGTGGAAGATTTTTTTCTTTTGCTATTTATGCAAAGTGCTCTTTAATATTCACATGATACTATTTTTTTTCCTTGGTAGTAGAAAGTATCTCCAATTAACCCACCTCAATTCATTTATGACCACATCACAGTGAAAAGCAGTTATGTACTTAGTGTTTGAAAAATTAACTCTTTGAGAACGAGAATGTTTGCAGGTACTTTGGTGTAGTTTGCTCCTTCTTTCCTATCAAACATCTTTCATCTTTCTCTTTCCTCCTTCTCTTGTGTTTGTTACCCTTTTGTTGTAACTCCTGAAATCTTCGACACTTACATGACCTAATTGTGTTGCAAATACCGTAAAACTCTTACTAAAACATGAAACAAAACAAAACAAGAACAAGTGTGACTTTCTAAAAGTGAAGAGCCTTGTTGTGTGCCATATTGGTTTTTTGGGTTTTGGGTGTTTTTTTTTCAAGATTGTTATATTTTTGTTTGTTTATTGAAGCGATGTGGTAAAGTAGCGTTTGAAATATTCAGGCTGAAATTTCAGCTTACACATGGAATTTTTTTTTGGTGCCGTCCCGTAAAATAGTTTGGTGAAGAAAGAGTTAAGACAGAGTCTTACTTCCATGACTCAGCTGAACACCAAAATTAAATTGTGTGTAGTAAAAGTGACTAAGGGTTTTGTTTCTTGCAACCTTTTTAAAAATGTTTATATACAGACTAACATAGTATTCCTAATGCAGACCACACAAATAGATTAACCATGCTGGAAAACATGATGAAGCATCTTTATTCCAGTTAAAGATCAAGATATATCTGGAAAGGTTTACAACATCTGAATCTCTTATATAAAGCAATCGTTGTGCAGGATATACACATAAGACATTTGCCAATTTTGCTGAAGGAGAAACAAAATTTGGTCAATAATGGAATACTCTTCTGGTAAGTGGACTGTCTTCTTTTTTCTCCTTATGGTTGTTTGTTCTGTTCATTTCAGGGTGCCATCTTGACCACTATGCTAGCAACCAGAAACTTCTCAAGTAAGTCTCAGATTACATTTACTGTCATTTTTTGTCTCAAACACAAAACAGAACTGCACAGCAGTTGTTTGTTTCTTTATTTCCATGCCCTCAATCTCCGCCCCATTTCCTACTGCAAAAGTGGGTCTCAGAGCCTTTTCTTATTTATTTCTGTTGATTTCCATGTTGTTCATCTTGTGGCCCAGGAAAGAACCCATGTAACTTCCAATGTTTGGCCTTCTGTGCCAGCCCACGCCTTTTACTTTGGCCTTTGCCCCCATTTGTACTGCCTAAGCCGCCTCCTGTTATTAAGTATTGTTCTTATTAAAGATTTTGGTTTATTTTAATTTACGTTTTTGTTTTTTTTATGCTTTTGTTGTTGTTTAATTTTCCAGTTTTAGTTCAAATGTCAACATAGTTCGAATATATCTGTCAGGAAAATTGTTATTGTACCATATTCATGTTTTTTATTTCTTACTGATTTCATGTGTGTTAATGGCTGAAATCATGTTGAGGAAAACCTGTGGTTAAGACAAAATCTGTAATCATAATGTGCTCAGATGGAAGTTGACTGCACTGTTTTCTTGTTTTAGCAGTAAGGGGCTTTGGTAAGTCCTTGTGGTTGATATCTTTTCCTCGTGGAGTAGGAACACAACTTGATTTTGTTGAGTGGCTGTCCCCTCAAGCCATGGCGCCTACACTAGCCCAACAGCCGCCAGAGCACATCTCTCTGTCCATTATTATGTGGACTGTTTCCCATGTGGGCTTAGTTGTCAGCCTTTACGATCCACCTTCCTTAAATCCATATGCTCCTAAAATGGAGACAGCTCCCTTCGTGACAGCGGCAGGTTTTATCATGTTTTTAACAATGTCGCCAACCATATGAAGCTACTTAGCACATCAACAGCTGTAGGGGTGGGATTTAAGCTAAGCCTAAAAGCTTTGTGTGTTTTCTCCCCCCCCCCCTCATTATGTCATTTTCATTAAAATTTTGTGTTATACTACATGTTTTAACTGACAATGGTAAAGATCCTATCGTGTTCACATTGTCAACATTTGGCACAGGCTACATATTTGATTTGATAAGGAAATAATTGTTTCCCTTTTTCGAAGGGTCAAATAATCATTGTAAAATCAAAGCTATAGATCTAAATAGAAAGATATTGTTCACATGTTTTATTCACATCCTGCACTGCAGTCTTATTTTATAAACGTGGTCTTTGTCCTTTGAAATATCGTACGTTTTTGTTATTGTAATCTGGGCACTTGAACAGACTCGTTGTGACAAGATAGTAGTTGTATATTTTGGAGCAAAATCCTCCTATGTATTGGTCTGCCTGTATTTGGGTGTGATTGTATTTTGTGAAGTGAGTTCTACTGTCACAGTCACCTGGACAGTGTCACTGCATGCAGCGCCAACTAGAAGTGAGAGATAGAGCGTATGCGGAGTGTAGCCTCCTAGTGCATGAAGGGAAGTAGCACGCGGCACTACAATATATTATTATCATCTGTCCAGGAATAGTTAACAACGAAGAGGAAAACTGTCACCGAATCAAATTCTTTTTTTTCCATTTGTTTGGAGTATGAAATTTCACCTTAAATAGGTAGGACACATGATTTCAGGGAAGCCATCATTCATCACAAATATCCGGTATCAAGAAATGAATTTATTCACTGAATCATTTTGCCCGCAGTATTGGAACTTAATTATTGCCGTGTTATGGAACGCTTCCGTTGTTTATCATTGCGTGATTAGAGAGACATAAGTCCTCTCAGTTTCCACCTCAGTTTCGTTGTGTGTGTAATCAGGCGTCAGTGGCTGTGACTATGTATTGCTGTATACCGTATGTTTTCCATTCAGTGTGTCTGTTTTCTGCTCCCTGTGGTCCTGCTATAATTCGAGGTCATTGCTATGGTTACATGTATTACGTCTGTGTGAAGTGTTTCTTCGCCGGGGTTCATTGTTTATCTCTCTTTATTATATATTTTGTATTCGTATGTTTGTGTCGTCTGTTTGTTTCTTCCAAAGCTGTCTGATTTGAGAAGACACATGGCTTGACAATGAAAGCTTGTTATGACCTTTTAAAAAAAAGATGATTTGGGCCTACTGAGTAGTTTAAAAAAAAAAGGGTTCACTTGATTCTCGCAAGGATCTTTTTATATATTTTATTGAGGAAAATCGAAGTGTGAACTAATGAGTCGAAACTAATAAACGTTGAACATCTTATTCATTGCCCAACCTGGGACCTTTAAGAAATGGAAGTGCTCAGAGAAGGTTCACAGAGAAATGTAAAGTACATTAAGCATATTATTCCGTTTCGTTCAGGCAGGAGAGCTAATGCAGTTCTACTCACTGCTGTGGCCGAGTCTGTTATACGAACCGAGGCAAAAGTTGTTTTTTTCCCTTGTGGAGTGCGAATTTCTTACCAAGAAATAGCATTTCACCCAGATTTGTCCAATTTGATAGAATGTATTATTTTATAGGCCCATTCTCAGATGACTCACATGGTCAGCTCTTCATTTACCTTCTGTCTACTCATGTCAGATACGCTGCTTTGTTATGTGTTGTCTGCTGGTGTAACGTAGGCCTTCACGATAGGAAAATACATTGAGTAGCCTTCGCTTATCGAAGTTTGTATTCTAACTTTCGAAGGCACTTCCGCTTGTGGCTTGTGGTAAAAAAAAAAGTAAAAACCGGGGGGGGGGGGGGTAATGCTGAGAACAGTTGGACTGAATTAAAATAGGATTTGGTATTGTTAATCCCATCATGGGATATTCATTGCACATGTTGTTCTGGTTGCAAAGGTTGTTGGCGTATGCGATCTTACCGTTTTGTCTCATGAATGTTTAGGTCAGGGTCTATTAAAATTTTTTCAAAGACTCTTGAGGGAGAGAGATTTAATCTTTTAACGCTTTCACAGATGTTTCCCTTAGAACTACGATGTTTCCCTTAGAACTACGTTGGCATTTTGAGTCGCTCATTGGGCTCCCATTTACTTTGGGACTAGAACTTTATAACGTTTTACATGAAGTGGAGAGACTAAAAGTACAAAAGTTCAAGTTCTTGGTCTTTCCTCACTTTCTACCCCAAACTGTTGAAACAATGAATAAAGAAAAGTTTCAAAAGGTAAAAGAATAAAAGGGATTTTGTTGTCAATGGAAACAATGATTGCCTGTTTTCAGTTCAGAAGTTACAAAAAATAAACACACGTAGGTTAAGATTTTGTTATTTTGCTATTAATAGTATTGGCGATTCTTGGCTTCTTAGAACAAGAGAGTAAATTATGGGAAAGCTGTGTTTCTTTTTTTTGGTGTATATATTTTCTTACCTTGGCTGGCATAATATTCCTGTTCAGTTGAGTTGGGAGAACAGATGGGAGTGGGCAGAGAAAAGTAGAGTGATCGGTAGTGAGGTGAATCAAAGCACCACCGTTTCCCCTCGATTGTTAGACAGGGTACGCCCTGACGAAATACTGTTTCGGGACATAACGTTCTTTTCTATTTTTACCTGTAGTTATACGTTATAAGGCCTATGTTACTCCCCGTGTGTATCGTCCGTGTGTGCAGCGTGTTCCTTGGTGTCCGTCTTGTCCATTGTGCAGTGATGTATGTGCGGTCTGTGCACGTTGACATGGATGTTCATGAAGAGGGCCTTCCAGTTACTTGTGTAATTTGAAAAGAGACAAATATTATGTCACCGATCACTCGTAGTCTCTCTCTCTCTCTCTCTCTCTCTCTCTCTCTCTCTCTCTCTCTCTCTC